TTTTTTTTTTTTTTTTTTTTTTAAATCATTTCCTGAAAGTACAAAGTGAACTAAGCTTTTGGGGATTTTTTCGGGTTTTTTTTTTAACCCTGTATGACTAAGAAATTTTGTTTTGGGGACCCAAGCCAAGATAAGGGACCCATTGGAAACGATACATTTGGCGGGCTCTGATGATGTTGCCAGGCAGGGGAAATGGCGTTTGCTGATTAGCTGAACTCATATTCAGGCATGGCCTAACTACATCAACTCGACTGTTAGGTTAGAATTGGCCAGATTCTTAGCTTTTTCTCCCCTCAGAAATGATTTTATGAACTGTTTAGTGAACTGTTTAGTTTTCCCACAAAATTTTACCTGGTCAAATTAATCCCGCGAAAATTCCTTGCCTCTTTCCCATTGACGATGAGGAAAAATCTGGACCTTAATTCAAAACCTTTATCGGAGCAAGTTTGGATAACGATAAAGTACAAATAATAGCCCAAAAGTACAAGTACAATAAAATGATCAAGTGATTAAGTGAGCTTTGTTTTACCCATTTCTTACTTTTTTTATTCTGTTGTACCTAAGAACGCTTGACTGGTGAAATTAACTGCTAAAAGTAAAACGGTCAAAGAAATCAGCCTAGTGGATCTTTAGATTTGACTGAGACAAAAAAGAGGATTAATACGAGGAGAGTCAAAACAAGTAAAATAATGATCCTTGTGTAATTAGCAATTTTTGGGGGGGATCAAAAAAGGCTTTTCATGGTTGCCACAGAATTTAGAAAATAAAATGCCCTGACATTTCCCTGATTTCCCTGACACTTTTGGCAAAATTCCCTGACAATTGAAGATGTGACGGATGGTTATGAGGACATAATTGAAAATAGTTTTCAGGCAAAATTTGTTGTTCAAAACCTCAAACCTATTCTAGAAAGCAAATGAAGGTGATTTAACAAATTTTCCCTGACATTTCCCGGTTTTCCCTGACACTTCCCGGTTTTCCCTGACTGTGGCAACCCTGGTTTTTTCATTTAGAAAATAAGATGCCAAAAATAAAACTTACCAAAAGTCATATATGCAAGCCCAGCAAGAATAATTATGCACAGAGCAGCGATCTTGGCTATCATAAAAACATTCTGGGTCCTTGCTGTTGCTTTCACATTGTAGCAGTTCAAAAACGTCAAAAAGCCTAAAAAAATCAAGACAAAAATTGTTAGGATTTTTTCTTTTTCTTTAGAGGATAGGTTAAGAGATTTTCAAGCAATACAGTCCGATTCCCTATGAAAAAATTAAAAAGAGCAGAAACTTTACAACATCCCAATCAACATACTTGGTTTCTGAGTGTAGCCATTGATATACTACCCATACTAGTTGCCACTAATACTTGATGATGATGTTCAGATAATATTTATAAACATTTACGACATTCATCTGTCCATCCTAAGTGAAGACTTGGAGGTTGAAATTCCAGCGCATTTTACACATATCGATAACTAAAGTGTGAAACCATGTGCCTCCATTGCGGGGTTTCAAAGTTTCCACTCCTATTTTATTTCTTCAAAAGAAAAACAAGGCAACTTCATACCTTGGAATTAATACAAAATATTCCACTAATCGAGGAGAACAACCATGGCAGTTTTCAAGAAACTATACTGACTAGTTTTCTGAAGAAAAAATAAAGTACGATAGAAAGTCTGCAGCGCCGCAAACAGAAGTACCTGGTTTCAAACTTCAGACATCAATATATTGATAGTTAAAGTAAAAGAATGCATATCTCTGACTGTAACATTGTAATTTCTGGCTATTTTTAGTCATTTTGAAAGAAAACCATCAGACAGCATTAATGAGAATTTTTTTAAATTTTATTTACTCATAAAGAAACATTTACAGATGATTCAGTGATTCTTAAACAGTGCCATTGAGATGTGAATTTTTCAACTTTGACCACCAATAACGAGATACCATTTATGATTAATTATACCTACGTACAAAGACACTTCTACAATAGAGGATTATCCATAAAGATGAAATATAAATCCGAACAAAAACGGATGGATTGATCAATAGCTAATAAGAGGAATTTTTGTTCAAATTTAATTCAAAAAAACATTTAGGTGCGACATTTTGTGTTTTTCTGCTCACAGAAAGAGGAATACGAGAAGCTTCCTAGCTTTACCTGGTTTCCAAAACAACCTTTAACTTTTCCCTGCCTTTGGCTGATAACACTGTAACACCATTTTGTTTTCTTTCTTTTCTTTTCGAACAATGACACTCTGTCATTCAAAAATCGAAATACATAATGGTCAAGAAATCCAGGATCACATCCCCTATGGCGGTTATGACTGAACACACACTTACAGATAACACTGGCCGCAATCAGCTTTTTTGGTAGGTCAGGAACATCACAAGTGGGGAAGAAAGGCTTGATTATATAATTGGCAAACGTTAATCCCATGATAGCATTCGTTGTGGGTCTGGAAGAATTAGAAAATATTAAAAATTCATAGTCATGTACTTGTAGCAGTGGTTAGAGAAAAAGAAAAACTATTCAAATTAAAGAAGAAACAGGAAGAAAAAAAACTCCATTGGAATCAGTTTTCCATCCTCGTTATGACATCTGATTTTCTAAGTGTCGTTCTGCTACCAAAAACGAATTATTCCACTTCTTGTGGGCCTAGAGGAGTAGAGAATTGCAAAAACAACAGAGCTCATCAAAAATTGCAATCATGCCCTTTCATTAGCGGAGAAACGAAATAATTATCAAGTTGATTCTCTGACTGATTGAAAAACGCTCCATCAAGTTATTACTCACTTTATTTCCGTTTAAGGCACTTAAATTAAAAGTGCAGACTTTTGCAAGCAGGTAATCAACTTATCAGATGCTTGGAAGAGATTATAAATTGATTTGAAAGGGCTCAAACATCTCTAAAATTGATCAATGAACGTGTGTCTGCCTGAGACTGGTAAATTAGCACTAATACTTCTTTTGCAGAGATAAAATAAACGAGGAAGCAAAAATAAAGACAGGAGAGGTGCTAGAATGACAAATCTTAGGAGAAAAACTAATCAAATATTTGAGTATAAGAGCAGCACTTTCTTGAATACCAGGGAGGAATTCTAAATACAAAAAGACGCATTTTCTTCGATAACAACATTTCCTGACTTTTCCATGACTTATCAGGAGTTCAGTACAGAAAAATTATTTGCATTTTCGATGTTTTTTTTTTTTTTTTT